AAAAAAAGAAAAGCATTTCATTCCTTTTAAACTATTTGACATGTATCACTAGACACCAGATAGCTATGAGTTATGATTGTGCCACAGCACTTCAGTCTGGTCAACAGAGCAAGACCCTGTCCCTCAAAAAAAAAAAAAAAAAAGAAAAGCATTTCATTCCTTTTAAACTATTTGACATGTATCACTAGACACCAGATAGCACCATCGTAACTGGAAAGTTGCTTCTCTGTTTCCTCCTGTCTTTGAAATAGGATGGGAAAAGTGGGACTGGCAGGACCCCAGCAAGCAAACTGTCCAGTGGTTCATTCTTTTGCTCTCTCTTTTTTCCCCATAGATCGAAATTGCTCAGAAACACCCTGACATCTATGCAGTTCCAATCAAACCACACAAGCCAGACCCCAGCCTGCCTCAGTACACCAGGTAAGGGCTTCTCAGCGGGTGTTGCCCTCGGGAGGAAATTTCTCTAGGATTAGAAGAAAGAATTTTTTTACTCAGATTTCTAGGCAACAGGATGATTTCCCCCCTAGTCATTTAGTCCAATTTAATTGTAACAATCACAGAGTAACAATTACGGAGTCAAACGTTCATGCTGATTTTGCTTGTGTGCTAAAACTCATTGATTCTTCAAGCAGGTACCCTTCGACACATCCAAGTGCAGTTTTGTTATGTTGTGTCAGAGTAGCATGTGAGCAGAATTCCTTATTCATTAGCAGAATGAGTCTTAGGCCTATTTTGCTGCTGTTTTTTGATTTAGCCAAGCTCCTTAATTCCTGTGTCACCCAGCAAAGTCAGGCCTCTTGTGTTGCGTTGGGGTCTGACCAATGTTGGTAAGATGCTTTACCTTTAAAATGCTACAGAAATTATCTCAGTGTCTTCCTGTTGAGGTTTTACACTAGATCATTTCTTGCATCTAAGAATAGAAACAAATACATTTTCTTGTGGCCATTCTGACTGGAAGCTGAGGTCCAGTTTCACAGCAATAGAAAACTAGAAGCAAATTTCTTCTTTAGCAATTGAATGGTGGTAACACAATCAATCAGGTTGCCAGTGGCAACAAAGAGTACCTGGTATAATTGACTGAAATGGGCAGGGAGCTCACTCTGCTGGGTGGGCCTGTAGCCAGGGAGCTTAGGGGTGGCGAAAGCAGCCCCTGCCCAACAGGGTGGCCCTGGCCAGCTTCCTCACTCACTGCCTGGGTGGGCTTTGGTCTTGCCCCATCCCTTCTGGTCCTGCCTCCACTGTTGAACCTGGCGAAGCCAGGATGCACCTGGTTATTGGGCACAGTGTGGTCAGTAAGTGATCAGCTTTGATGGTGGCTCTGTGCTTGTAGCCACCCCTCCAAAGGCAGCTGGAGGACAGTGCTCTGGAATGTGTTTAACTCTTTCTCTCTGTTAGTTCCAGACCCCCTGAGCCGCAGAAAAGTTCTTCCAGACTTTATCAGGACACTAGAGGAAGTTATAGCAGTGACGCTGAAGAAGAAGAATACCGCCAACAGCTGTCAGAGCACTCAAAGCGTGGTTACTATGGCCAGCCTGCCCGATACCGGGACACAGAATTATAGTGGTCTGCCGAGGGACTCTCCAGGGCTGCCTGCTGCCACGGCAGGGTAACATTCCTGCCAGGCCACCACAATGGTCTTCTCCAGTTAAAATGCACTGTTGGGGATACTGTAGGACTTGGGCTCCTGTGTTCTCATGGGGAACCAGGGGCAGCCAGTACAAATTAAGAACTGAAGGCTCTGTCTGTGGGACTGGGTTAGAGGAGTTTGTGGGTTTTTTGCTCAGAAATAAGAGGAACACTCTTACAGTCTGATACTGTTACTTGCTTCAGTGGACCAAAATCTGTATTAAATTTCTTTGCATATTTTTCATATGTGTATTAAGAAGCAATAACTATTTTTCCTCATCTGTAGCCACCTACAAAGACTGTGCAGAATGTGAAAAAAGGAATAAAAAATACGGTTGGACTCGAACTCAGTTTAATTATTTCATTACAACTCTCCAAGTGCCTTTGATGAGAAGTGTCTTAAATTTTTTTTCCTTTGAAGCTTTACGCACCGCCATAATGGACTAAAACATTATTTTGACTAAACTTTTGTACCAGTTTAATAGCGAGGTTTTCCCTGCACTGTATCGTCTTTCAAGGCATTCCATCTTTGTAATATTTCCCATCGATTCTGACTGTGTATATATAATTGCTGTACTTGGTAGTTTGGCTGTAAGTGCTCACTAGCTTGAAGACTGAGAGGTTAGTGTACAACTTTTTTGTTTGTTTAAAACCAAGTGCTCTACAAAAGCAGATACTGAAGGAGAACACATTTAATTTCCAAAAGTGTGTATTGACAACAGTTTTGTAATTTAATAAAATGGAGCATACTGCAATCAACAATTTGCTTTGTGGGAGCTTTCTTTACTACTTCCTATTCTTAAATGTAACTTCTATTTCAGTTACTAGTTCATCATAAAAGTGAGAACTTGGCTTGGCACCTATTGCTGCAGTGGCTAAGGCACCAGCCACATTCACCTGAGCTGGCGGGTTCGAATCCAGCCTGGGCCCACCAAACGGCAATGATGGCTGCAACCAAAAAATAGCTGGGCATTGATGGTGGGCGTCCATGGTCCCAGCTACCTGGGAGGTGGAGGCAGGAGACTCGCTTGAACCCAGGAGTTGGAGGTTGCTGTGAGCAGTGATGCCATGGCACTCTACCAAGGGGAATAGCTTGAGGCTCTGTCTCAGAAAAAAAAAAAAGTGAGAATTGGCTCTTTGTTGAACATTTGCAAATGGAGACGCATAATGAAGAAGAAAATAAAAATAACCCACAATCTTTTCCCCCAGATATAATAATTATAATTAGTTTATAACTATTTATAATTATAAATAATATCGTTTCCTCTATATATCTGTGGATATCTATGGGTATGATATTGAGGTGTACTGAGTTCACAGTTTTTTCCTACTTTTTCTATTTAACATTCTATCAAAAATGTTTCCCTTATATAATTAAAACTCCACGAGTACATCATTACTAATAACTGCAGGGTAATAACACCTGTGAGTGCTTCATTAAGGGAGCAGTTCTCCTATTATTGACTGGATTCTTTCCAGTTTTTTGCCTTTTTTACATGAAATGTGCATGTGTTGTATATCAGTGATCAGCATTTCAGCCCTTTAGGTAAATTCTCAGAAGTAAAATTACTGAGTAAGAACACAGGAACATTTTTAAGGTTCTTGATGTTTATTGACAGATTGCTTCCTAGAAAATTTGCATCTATTGATACTCCCACACTACTCTTGGAAAACTAAAATTGAATTAGAATTTTAGCAAGACAGTTTAGGAATTTCGGCTTGTATGAATTAAAAGTACACTGAATTTGGGAAAGGAGAAAACGAATCTTCCTTCCATTAGAGTCTTTCATGATGTGAACTGACAGCAAAGTGTTAAGCTTGGGTTTTAGTGGAGTTAGAAATTAGTAACTGAGTTATTCTATTAATGTGTCCTTAGTTGTGCCTTTTGTGATATGGGTACTGTAATTTATAGATCATTTAGTTCAGTATCTTAATTTTTTTTTTTCTTTTTGAGACAGTCTCACTTTGTTGCCCTCAGTAGTGTTGTGGCTTCAAAGCTCACAGCAACCTCAAACTCTTGGGCTTAGCAATTCTCTTGCCTCAGCCTCCCAAGTAACTGGGACTACAGGTGCCCACCACAATGCCTGGTTATTTTTGGTTGTAGTTGTCATTGTTATTTGGCAGGCCTGGGCTGGATTTGAACCTGCCAGCTCCAGTGTATGTGGCTGATGTCCTAGCTCTTGAGCTGCAGGCGCCAAGCCAGTATCTTAAATTTTTAAGCAGTCCTCAAGGCTTTGACTAAAATTTGCATATTCCATAAATAAAAGCCACCTTTTGTGACTAGGAGAAAAAGCACACTGGTTAAGTATATGAAGATTTAGTTTATCTGTGTCCCGTAGAGGAATGAGCCCTTTGGCAAACATGGGGAGGAGAAGAGACTTTGCAGCCAGAGCTGGGCTGTCATCTGGTTCCAGCAGTTTTGTGAGGCATTAAATGGTGCTGACAGGCAGCTCCTTGTCCCTGAGAATGCCTAGTAGAGTGGCCACTAGACCACCAGGGACAGTGCCTGCCCCACCCCATTTTTATTCATATCCTGCTTTGTTCTGGGATGGATTTAAGGCTTCCTACAACATGCTTGGACTACAGCAAAGACATTGGTGCTAAGCAAATGACGTAAGGGGGAAATGTATCAGAATAGGGAAGATAGAGCCATGAGGGAGGGTAGTATTCGCTCTGCCCACTGTCAGGGCTCCTCGGCCTCCTAAAGCTGGTGTGGAACCCAAAATTTGATTCAGTATCAATCAAAATGTCAGGGTGCACATATACCTGTTTGCTAAGGGGGAGTAAATTGTTCAGGAATTGTCTTCCCTCTGCGTTGGTTTCACTGTAAGGTTGCAATTGCATAGTTGCCCAGATGGTTTTGGAGGTCTCTTTCCTACTGTGTCCCTTTGTGTAGGGCAGTAGCACAATTCCAAAGGCCAGGCTCGGCGCCTGTGGCTCAAGTGGCTAAGGCACCAGCCACATATACCTGAGCTGGCAGGTTTGAAACCAGCCCGGCCCACCAAACAACAATGATGGCTGCAACCGAAAAATAACCTGGCGTTGTGGTGGGTGCCTGTAGTCCCAGCTACTTGGGAGGCGGAGGCAGGAGACTCGCTTGAGCCCAGGAGTTGGAGGTTGCTGTGAGCTGTGATGCCACAGCACTCTACCTAGGGCAACAACTTGAGGCTCTGTCTCCAAAAAAAAAAAAAAAAAAAATTCCAAGGGCCATACAGTAAAAGTTCTTCAGAAAGGGCCAAACTGGCAGAGTAAAAGCACGACTCTGCAGTCTGGCTTAATCTAAAGATCCATCTGGGGTATCTCGGACCAGTGTCTCCCAAATAGAAATACAATGTGCATGATCATGTTACCCAGCTTTCCAGGAAATCCGCTTCCACGTTGGGAGAGGGGTGTTTTACATCCACACGTAGGATAGGGGATATAGCAGAATGTAAACCTCACTCAAATTTGTAGGAATGAAACATGGGGCATGATTGATGATTGAAGTTTTGCTCTTTCAGCAGGTCTTTGGACTACACCCCACACGCTCTTGACCCCAGACCTTCCAGGTGGCTGTCAGATCCTCTAGGGAGCAGTTCAGTCTCCTCTGTCAATTAGAGAAGTACTGTGTAACCTTCAGTTCATCCTGAGCTCGCTGGTGATTTGAGCTCAGAATTGCTCAAATGTGATTCTATTTGGTGAATAGGAGGTTTTAATTTGGGTAACAGACCCAAGACCAGGCTTCCAGTATAAGTGGTTTATTTGGGAAGTGCAAGAAACTCTGCATTGGGAGATGAATTTAAACCCTCCAGAAAATGCTGTTAAATGGTAGAAAAAGTGTGTCTTAGAGTTTTCCCTTTCACGGGGTGGGTGGGTAAGCTGGGCTATTCTCCAACTGCCCTCAGTCTTGGTCGAGGGCTGCGCTGTGTGTGTGGTGGGGAGGGGAGGGGTTCTCAGCACCCCTCCCTCAGGCAAAGAAACAGACTGACAATTGGGGGACTGAAGCACCCACCCAACAGCACTGCCCACAAGGCCTGAGGGGCCCAGGTAGACAGGTGATGCTGCTTCCAGAACGACATCAGGTGCCACCATCTGTACTGACAAATTCTTTATATGAAGGAAAGCTGGTCAGGAACAGCCCTGGTAAGCAGTTATATGTCTTTTAAGAGAAAGTTTCCCAGCAAAACAAATTCCCTCTTCTCCCATAAGTCCTTTTCCAGGCGGGGTTGTCAGTTCCAGTGTTCAGATCCTTGAGGAAGGATTAACTGCTGTGGGACATAGAGAATAAGGAAAATAGAGGATCATCAGAGAGACCCCCTGTACCCAGATGGACGGTGCCCTGGTTGGAAGGAGTAAGTTGTAACCCCTTGACAGAAGGGTATCCATTCTCCTTTGCTTCTGTCTAATCTTAGCTCTGGCACCTCGTATATGGGAGTTGAATGTTTCAGATCTTTTACAGGCAAGTAAAAATTATTAGAAGTGCCAGGCAAGGCAAGGCGCAGTGGCTGTAAGCCTGGCACTCTGGGAGGCCAAGGCAGAAGGATCACTTGAGGCCAGGAGTTGAATGTTCTTCAACTCAAAGTTATGGAAAACCTCACAAATTAGTGTGTCATCCTAGCACATGGGCCATGCTCATCTCTGTATGTGCAATTTTAGTATATGTACTGCTGACGAGAGCACTTCCCTGAATATTTTCAGTTTGAGGTTGGTGGAATGCAAGGATGCAGAACCTGCAGACTCAGAGGGGAGGCGCGGTGTCCAGAGGTTTCTCTGGGGATGAGAGCAGAGAGGACTGGAGAGAACCTGGACCTGGGGGAGGGAGGAGGAGGCTGGAGCTGGGCAGGCACGCGCCCACAGGCACGCGCCCCTCTAACCCCTCACCTCCCGTGCGCCCCTGGCTTCTCTAATCCCCCACCACATGCTCCTTCTTTGCAGCTTTAATTCCCTGCCCTCTGCTCCTCTGCTGGTCTCAGATAATTCCCCTGGGAAGTCCACAAGGGCCCACCAAAGCATTTGTAGGAAACAGAAGTCATGAACACATGTAGGAAACACTGCCGGACCTCGTGAGAAGCCAGGGGAATTGGGAATGGCAACAAGGCAGCTTGGACGGCAAACGCTTTCCACAGGAATGAACCTTTGAGTCAAAATGAAGCGTATCATTCTCTGGGCAAATCTAATATGTACCTTAATCCAACTTAAGGTATTTTCCATCCAGAAATACGCTGGATTTTGTTATTTAAAAGTACTATGGGGAGCGAGAATATAAAAGTTGCTAACATGGTTCCTACTCTAATGAGGTGTTAGTTCCTCCCCCAAGCTGGTTCCCTGGTTGCTGTCTTCATCCTGCTGAGGCAGCCCACCCGGGGCTATGCACTCAGATTCAGAAATCCAGGTGATTGTCGTTCAGACCCCAGCTCTGTCAGCTACTAGCTAGAAAAGTTTGGGCAAGTTACTCAACTGTGTTAAACTTCAGTTTTCTCATTCCTAAAATAGTGATAGTAAACTATAACTAACACTATGTCCTATGCTTTTTGTGGTATTTTAGTAAATGGTGTTCATAAAATGTTTGGCATGGTAGCTGGCACAAAAGAAATGCTCATTAAAAGTAGCAAGTATTATCACTGTCAATGGTTTCACCATTCAAATTTACAAGAGAGATTTGAGTAGTGTCTTTGATTTTCTTACTCCAAATGATGACCTACTTTATTCCACTTAGTAACTATTTTTAATTTCTCCCTCTGTCCCTTTTCCCACAGCCACTACCCTAGATCAGATGGTTGTAAACTCCCTACTCCTCCACCCAGCTAGCAGTCAAAATCCTCTTTCTAACTTAGATCTGAGAATGTCTCCCTCCTGCTTCAAAAACAGTGATGACTTCCTCTTGGCCTGGGACCAAGTTTAGTTCTTTGTTATGGCATTCAGGATTTTCTCCTATCAGAGAAGATTTTCTACTGATTGATTACATCATTGGCCCTTAATTCTTCACCCCTCTCTATAGCCATGTCCTTTGCCATGTGACTTTACACTCCCTCCCACTAAAAGGTCAGAATATGGGTGGCACCTGTAGCTCAGTGGGTAGGGGCCAGCCACATGCACTGGGGCTGGTGGGTTCAAACCAGCCTGGGTCTACTAAAAAAAAATAAATAAAATAAAAATATAAATAAAATAAAAGGTCAGAATATATTTACTCCTTGGCTTTGGCTTTGGGGTTAGTCATATGACTTGTTGGTCATGTGACTTGCATCTCTGCCACCCCTGAGAGGACATTCCTCAGGCTAACCCTCTATGCCCAGAGCAGGATGAGAGTGGGTGGAGCAGAAACACTCCAGCTGAGTCCAACCTACATCAGCTGACCCACAGATGTATGAGAAATACTAAACAAAGGTTGCTTTAAGCCACTGAGTTTTGGGGTAGTTTGCTATGCAATAAAATAGTCCCAAATGCCCCAAATTCTTTTCCAGGCAGCTTTCTTCTACAAACTCATCAATGTTTCAATTACGTGCGAGCACTTATCCCCAAGACAGTCTTAGATTCTCTGCTGTTCCCTCTGCTGTTCCCTTCCCTTTTCTTTACCATCTTTCAAAACACTGCTCATTCTTCCAGGTCCAGTTACAATGTCACATTTTCTGTCAAGACGTCTCCCATGCCCCCAGTCAAATTTGTCACTATCACTTCACCAAGCTCCCATAACCCTCCATCTATAGCTTCTGGCCTTCTTGTTACCAATGCATAGATTTGTGACCCAGTCATTTCCAAGTTCCACTAAGGAGTGTGTGCGTGTGTAGGGGTAATCTGTATGCATCTTTATCTTCTCATCAGTGCCCTATGTATATTCCAGAAATGTTTCCTGGAAAAACGAAGTGAATAAGTGAAGGGGGAAATAAATTGAAATGTAATGTCTGCTTTTATCACAAAAGAGAATCAATGGCATAGTGACTTTCTGCCATCATGCCCGGTTTAAACTTCCACATTGATACCACTGATCTAAACTGGAGAACATTAGTGAAGTCAAGAAAAACTGCTAAGAACTTAATTTGACCAGGAAAGGGCAGACTCATGTTGAAGTATAATTTCCAAAAGGATAACATTTTTATTCTGAGGAAAATATAAAATGAACTCATTACTTAAAGAGGGAACCAGTAAGAGGTTAAGACTGGTTCAGGGAGAATTTGAGGGACTAGGTAATGTAAGCAATTTAATTAAGGAAAATTAGGATTAGAATTCTGAATTAATATGAAACTGGTTAATGACCCATTGAACAATACATGGTAACTTTTATAGGTTATCTTTTCCATCAGACAGACATTATATCTCTACCAGACTAAAATCTACACGTTAATACACAATTTCACTAAGTCTGGGAATTTGGGTGAATAGTTTTAGCACTAATCCATGGTGTGTACAATTCGGTGGCATTTAGTATGTTCACTGTGTTGGGCAACCTTCACGTATATCTAGTTCCAAGACATTTTCATCACCTCCAGAGGAAACCCTGTACCCATGAAGCAGTCACAGTAAGACCCACACTCCTGTGAGATGCTAACACTACAGCTGATCTGACAGGAGGTGGTGCTCCGGTGGTGATGCAAGTGATGGGGAGCAGCTGTGAATAGGACAAGCTCCCCTGGCTCCCCCACCGTGCATCTCCTGCAGTGTAGTCTGGTTTCTAACATGCTATGGACCCCAGTCCATGGTCAAGAGGCTGGAGACTATAGCTTAGAGTGCTTTTCCAGTTGCTAGTAACTCAAAACCCAGTTCAAAGCTGATTTAATAATAAAACAAGTTATTGATCAGGAATCTGAAAAGGTAAGAAGGCTTCCCAGGGCTCAAAAATGTCCCAGAGGGCCTGGCTCCTTTCCATCTCTCTCTACTGCATGTTATAGAGTTGCTTCATCTTTTGTGATCCCAAGGGGGTTGCCAACAGTTCCTGAGGCTGTTTCCTCCTTCATGTCCCGCAGTGGATAGGGAGTATCTTTGTTTCAATGTCCCAGGAACAGACATGAATTTCACTCTGATTGGTCTGATGTGGGTCATGTGTCTGGTCCCGAACCAAATTCTTTTGGCCAGAGTGATGGGCTATGATGATTAGCTTAAGCCACTGAGGTCCCAACAATGGAGCTGAGAGCAAGGCAACCCACTACCAGCAAGCAGAGAACTCAGCAGGAAGGACATTTCTTAAAGGAAGTTTGGGGAAACTTTTCCTAGAAGAAAAGGAGAGAGATCTGTATAGAAAATACCAGTTGTTGCATACAGAAAAACACGAAAAAGTGAATAGTATTTGTATCTATGAGCTTTAAATCATAGAGTTACTAGTGATTTTTACTTTCTTTTCTATACTTTGCCTGCATTTTAACAATGAGAATGCACTAATTTTATAACCACAAGATAATAGTTACTTCTACTTTTTAAATCCAGCAAATGAATAACATGGAATAAATAGATGAAGACATGTTTTTTGGTTTTGAACTTGCCTTTCCTCCCCTAAAGTGTTGTCTTTGCAACAAAACCAGCTATTCTGGCGTCTTCCCTAAGCAAAAAAGAAGGTCCTGTTACAGGCAGCCTCCTGGATCCTCAGTAGTCTGTGAATACTCCCTCCTACCCGCCCTGCCTCACTTAACAATTTAGCAGTGCCTGCTGGCTTGCTGGTCCCCCCTTCACATGTGCTATTCTGGGCCACTGTAATTATTCAGCCAGTGGAGAGTTCTCTTCCGTGACAACTGAGATACCTCAAACTAAGAATAGGACTCTGACTGATGAAGCAAGGTGACAGCCATGGCTGGGAGGAACTTTACTGTCTTCCAGAGCCTCTTTAAAAGACCTAAACCTCCGTTTTACCCTTTGCTCTTTGGTTTGCCGTGAGTCTGTGGTTTTGCTGCGAAGTCTTGTCAGCTGCATAGCCACACAAATGATATGGGCTGAGCAGCTTATCAGGAGCTCCAAGAAGTGTTTCTTCTCAGTGGGCTTCCAGCTGGGAACACCGGGTCTAAGTTTGCCAGATAATTCTCTATTGTACATTTGCAACTCTTTCCTCAGAGGCATTTTGGTGTGAGGCTAAAAAGGATACTTTTGATTTTCTAAGAGCTGAGAAAACCCAGAGGAACTCTCTGCCCCCTTTGGCGGCAGGCGCTGTTGTAAAGTGGGAGCGGATTTTGCAGTTAGAGGTTGGGGCTCTGTGGCATTCAGTACTCTAAGCTTTTCAAGCTTCAGCTTTCTCAGCTAAAAAATGGGAGTTAGTAAAACCAACCACTCAGTGTTGTGATGACTGAATGAGTGTTTGAAGGGTATCTACCACAAGAAACGCCCAGTGACTGTATGAGTCAGTGTTCTCCCACAGTGGAGATTCTACCTGGTTCTCAGGAAGTCCCCTGGGATCAAGCCTGACCACCCAGAGTAAACCTCAAAAATGCTCCCAACCTCGGAAATGCTCCCTTGTACAGTAGTGGTTGTCCCTTCTCCTGGGTCTCATTCTTTTCTCTCCCTCACTCTGTCTCCCCAGCATCACCTCTCACTACCTGTACACAGAGCCTTGTCTCCATCTCTGCTCCAAGGTAAACCCAGGGCTAGACGGCCACAAATTACCAAAAAACAGCAGCGCATTCTGGAGTTGTTCGTAGTTACACTTCATAAGATTAAGCATCATTTGGTCACAGGACAGATTCTGATAATAACAATGTTGATGA